ATAAAAACCAAGCTCTTAAACTCTTATGTTAACTAGGTGAACATTTTTATATGCTGACTATTTTTTTTCTAGAATATCAAAAATTTTCTAGTCCCAATCTTAGAGGGGCTTACAAACCTCACTCTGAAGAAGCTGAGAATAATTTTGATAGTATAAAACTCAGGAGGAACTTATAAGCCTAACTCGGATGTTTTATAAATTTGATTATCAAAGTAAAAATTATTCATCAAAATACATGGGTTTGTCATAAGCAAAAAGAGGGAGATTGTTCGAACGAGTTTGGTTCTGTAACTATCCTTGATTTTTGATGACAGCAAAACTGAATATGTATGGAGAATAATTCTGTACTCTAATTATTTTTTTAAGCACGTAGATCATAGAAAACAATTTCCGACTTTGAAAAAGTCAACTCTGAACCAAAAATGCACTCTGAACTAAAGGAAAAATCAAAGGCATGGTTAAATGAAATTCAAGCATCTAGAGTACCAAGTCAACACTTATGGAAAGAATATATCACAAATGACTATGATAAAGACTCAGATCATTCAAGCCTCTGAAGTCTCATAACTTTGAACTCTATAGACTCTGAAGTCTTATTTTCACCAGATTCTAAAGATAGGCTCTGAACTCTATTCAAGTTTCATCAACTTAAATACGAAGCCTCTGACTAGAAGTTAATGACTAAAAGTAAAAAAAAACTGAAAGAAGAACACATGGCAGAGTACAATCAGTATAATAGCAAATATCCTTTCCACTACCTTGAAGACCAGGAAAAAGGATTGTACTATTGTACCAACGTAGTTACTATTGTACCATCCTCACTCATTTTATGTTGTAAGCTCCACTCTATTGTTGCAGAATCAAAGGACCTTCATACAACTATGATATTGAGGATATTCAAATTCCACCCTCCAAAGGATTTATTCTTCATCTATATAAAGAGATATTGGAAGTTTGGAAAAATATTAATTGCATAACAACAAATACACATAACGAACATATGTGAAAAAAAAGTGTTTCTCACATTCATACACTTAGAACATTTTCTTAAATATATTTTTAGTGTAATCTTTGATTTTAACTTGTGCATATGCTTATTTTAGAAGCACTTTGTAAACACAATCTTGTTTTATTAACCTTTGGTTAAATTCCTTCAGAGAATATGTTATAGTCAAAATTCTCAAGAAGTCTAATAAAAGTTGTCTTTAAGTTTGTAATCAAGTCTTTGGTAGTGGATTAAGTCCTTATTGAGAAGACAAAATCACTCTGACGGATGGATTGAATGTAACTTAGTTAACAGTAAACCAAGATAAAAATAATTGTGTCTTTTATCTTTGTTGAATATTTGTTGTTTGTCTTATTGGGTTGCAAAACAGTTTTAATCTCGATACCCAATTCAAACCCCCTTTCTTGTGGTTATTAAACCTTCACATCGTACCTGTAAATACATGGATCCATACACTCTACTAAAGTGAAATATTGTACCATGTGGAGGTCAACTAGTAGGTTACAAAATCTCTTATTGGTGGATTATATTCCTTTGAAATGCCAAACCTAGTGAGGACATTCTTTTTTAAGAAACCAAGGATATTATTTCCAGTTATCTTTGTTAAGGGTTCAACTAAGGAGGATCTTACGAACCTCAGCCTTAACCTATCAGACTCAGAAGGAGCTTACAAACCTTGTATTCTTATGTTGTCAAAGGAAGATAAAATATTATTTTTTGTTTTCTTAAATATGGAACTAAGGGGAGCTTACTAACCTCAACCTTGGAACTGTTTGACTCAGGGGGAGCTTACAAATCTCACGCTCTAATGTTACTAAGAAAAATGAATTACTTTTTCTTGAAATTAGTATTTGATATGGGTCTACAGAACTCAGTTTTGGACTATTAGACTCAGGGGAGCTTACAAACCTCACACCCTGATGTTGCAGAGAAAATTATAACTGCCTAGCATTGTCCTTTAAATACTTATGTTTGTCATCATCAAAAAAAGGGAGATTGTTAGAACAAGATTTGTTCATGACATATTTTCCTTGAGTTTTTATGATAATAAATTATTGAAATAACAATGGTTTACTTGATGTGTGTTACATGTGTGCAGGTTCTAATACTTGTAAATATTATAGTCAGAATCTGTTTTATATTAGCACACTTGGGAGTTGCTAAATTTTTATCTTCTGGTGGTAGAATCTGAAGAACACTTTCTAAGTGATATCTGGAGTAGACTCTGAAATTGAAGGTCTCAACATTAGAAGAAGCAACATAATTGTCTCTACACTTAGTAAATGTAAATTGACTTCTAGTACCATTCAGAGTTGGTGATAAAGTTGAAGTTGTTCGTGCTGCAGAAATGTATTGTCAAATCAGTTTGTCAGCTAGAGTCTACAGATTGCAAGGCTTAAGAAAAGCTGAGATACTTTATGGATATCTACTCTCAACGGCTCTATTAGTACAAAATCACTTGAAGACTCAAAGGTTAAACATGTTACACATTGGATCATGATCTTCTGGTGTATCTATCTTCAACATCTCTTGTACTATGGAGTAAAAGCATAGACTCTTGATCAAGTTACCTCTTCAACAGATAGTTTATTCAAAGACTATAAATATAATGTAGGTTCAAATTGAATCTTGAACAAGGATAATCCAGAAGAAGGAGTAATAAGATCAGCAATTATCAACATAATTTTATATGCAGATTTTCTATTGTAGGTTGTAATTGTAAAAGCCTTAAGATTTCTTACACATTGAATATCATAGAAATCTTAAGTGCTTTAGGTCTTTGTTATGGTGATTTCCTGTACCTCTGATACTTGTATGAAGTATACCTTGTTCTCTATTCTGCTGAACTTGTTTAGCAGTTTAGACTAAGTCTCGAGCCAAGATGCTTGAGTCATGTAAGTCTCTTGCTATGTGTCTGAGAAATGCAAGTCTTAATAAACTAGGTTGGTTGAGCAGAAGTCTTAAGTCAATAGGACATAAACAAGGAAGTCTCGAGCCACGTAAGCCTCTTGCTATGTGCTTGAGATGTGAAAGTCTTAATCAAGTGGATAAATTAAGCAGGAAAGTCTTGAGGCAGTGTGACTTGATCAGGTTGGCTCAGTACATGAAACTAAAGCAATAAGTCTTGAATCTGAGGGGTTCAAGCAAGGAGGCTCGTTTCATGGGACTTGGAGCAGAAGTCTCAGGTAGTGTGGTTTGAGCTAGTTGGCACAGTACATGGAACTGAAGCAGTAAGTCTTGAATCTGAGAGGTTCAAGTAAGGAGGCTCGTTTCATGGGACTTTGAGCAGAAGACTCAGCCAGAGTGGCTTGGAGCATAAGTCTTGAGTTTGAGGGGCTTGAGTAGAAGTCTTGCGCTAAGGGCCTAAGTAAGGCAGTCTTGGGTTCGTGGAACCTAATCAAGAAGTCTCGAATGAGGAGCTTGAGCAAGAAGTCTTGGACCTTGGGTCTGAGCAAATGTAAAAGTCTTATGCATAATGCATAAGCGATTGCAATCATGATTTGATTATAGTGAAAATCTCTTGTGAAGTAAGGGGATGAGACTACTCTCAGTTTAGGAGGAACCAATATAAATCTTTGTGTCTTATGTTATTATTTGTTTGCTTTTGTTAACATTTCGCTGATAAGAATTAACCAGAATCTGAACACCAATTTAGATTTTAAACACTGATTAGATGCAAACTAAGAAAACGAAAAACACAATTCAACCCCCTTCATGTACTTTTCTTACCTTCACCCAACACTGACACAGTGACACCAATAATAATTTGAAAAAAAAAATAAATTAAATATAATTACAAGTATCAGTACAAATATCCAACACAGACGCGAACAAGAGCACACCTTTAGATGTTGTTTTTAAGAAATAGATGTTGATTTTAAGAAAATGAATGTTTTGATTAGTGTATACGTGTGACAAGTTTAGGATTTAACTATTAATAAATCAGTCAATATAAAAGTCTATATGATGTAAACAGTGAGAAAGTCAGGTGTTGATATTTTATGCACTGTGATGTTTTTTTGCAGTGTAATTGTTATCATTGTTTGTCTTTTGTAAATTCTTAATTGGGTTCTTTTAGTAGTTACTTTTTAAAATAGGATTAGGATGATATGTATTGTTTATTTATTTATTTATTTTGGCACGTTTTTTTATTGTGCTTGAGTTTATTTCGTTATTTTTTTTTGTTATAATTAGTCTTGATTTATTTTATTTGTTGAACTGTTTGAACTTAAGACATGTTGAAGTTTTATTATGCGTTGTTAAAAAAAAATTTGTCGACCTCTTTAATGATAAATATGTTTTTTGTAAATTATATAGTAAATCAAATTGTAAAATAAAAAATAAAAATTTAGCGGGTCAGGCCGCCAACTCGTTAATAAACGAAATAGACTTAACTTTTAAGTTCGAACACCTAAATTGACATGTACCGTCCCGCCCTATTTTTAAATGGACTTAAATGAAACAGATCTAAACGGGGCGTGTCGCCCACTTTGCCACCCCTAATAGTATTTGACAATATTAATATCATTTAGGTTATTCAAATTTTTTTAGGTATAATATATTAGAATATACAATACCAACAAAATAAATATTCCTCTTTTAACTTATCGATTATTGAGAGCTTACCTTTTGTAACAAATTTTAGTACACTCAAAGTGAACTAGTGGTGCCAAAAAATAATGTCAAAAGCTTGAGTAGCAAGGAAAATATTAAAAGATTTCTTTGTAGGAGGTTCAACCAGAAATCAAGTTTTAATTTTACTTCTTATTTTAACTTTATACATACTAATATAAAGTTCCTTGATCGCTAAAATAGCTTAAAGTTGACATAAGCACTTAAACAAATGCTTATAATGCAAAACTCAAAAAGAAGCAAGCACGTGGATTTCTTTGAATAAATCACACAAACATGAGTTCATTTTACATCCATAGCTCTTCTCTTTCTTTTTTAACAGCAATACACAAGAGTTGGAGAAGCTAGATTGAACTCAAACATGAACAAGTACAATGAAACATATCTCAAACTCATCCGAGGTGGTTCTAAATCTAGTCACAAGAAGAGAAGTTTGTTCTCCAAGAAAGCTAAAGTTACCACCACTGTAGTTTCTCTCTTTTGCTTAGTAGCAACTTTCTGTTATTTTGGACCCTCCAATAATGTGAGTTATTATTATGCATATTTTGGAAAACAAAACATCATTCTTGTTTTGATTTCAGAAGAAACTAATATGGCAATTATTTTTGAAGTACATAATTTCAGGTGATTCCGTTCGAAATCAAAACCCTTCATCCATCCACATAAACATACACAAAGAACAAGAATTTCCACTTAGATGCACCAAAAGAAACAAGACTGAGGCACAAACATGTCCAAGAGACTACTTTCCTACAAAACATAACCCAACAAATCAAAATAGCAATGTTTGTCCCTCATACTTTAGATGGATCCATGAAGATCTAAAGCCATGGAGAGAACAAGGGATCACAAAGGAAATGCTGGAAGGAGCAAGAAGAACAGCACACTTTAAGATTGTGATTGTGGATGGAAAGTTGTATGTGGAAAGGTACAGAAAATCATTTCACACAAGAGATGTTTTCACTTTGTGGAGTATTGTGCAACTGTTAAGGTTGTATCCTGGCAAGTTACCTGATTTAGAACTATTGTTCGATTGCGAAGATAGACCTGTTATTCGGTTGGATAAGTTTCAAGGCCCAAATGCTTCGCCGCCACCTTTGTTTGGATATTGTTCTGATCAATCAAGCTTGGACATTGTTTTTCCTGATTGGTCTTTTTGGGGATGGTAAATGCTAAATTAGTTTCACTTCTTCTACCTTAATTATATGTTTAAACAATGTTTAAGTAATAATGATATTTGAATAGGGCTGAGATAAATATAAAGCCATGGAATGGAATCTTGAAAGATATAAAAGAAGGAATTGAAAGGACTAAGTGGAAGGATAGAGTACCTTATGCTTATTGGAAAGGGAACCCTACAGTTGCTGCAACAAGGAAAGATCTTCTAAAATGCAATGTTACATCAGAAAATGATTGGAAGAATCACCTATACATACAAGTATTTTTGAATCAAATTTTCATTATTTGTTTCTTACAATTCACATCACAGGTAGATAGATTAACTCATTTTATATATGTTTGTGTCTTAGGATTGGAAGAAAGAAACTCATGAAGGTTACAAAGAATCCAACTTAGGGAACCAATGCACCCATAGGTATAAGATATACATAGAAGGAATTTCTTGGTCTGTTAGTGAGAAATACATTTTGGCATGTGATTCCATGACATTATATGTAAGACCCAATTACTATGATTTTTTCATAAGAGGCATGGTTCCATTACAACACTATTGGCCTATTAGAGATGATTCAAAATGCACATCTCTTAAGTTTGCTGTGGAATGGGGCAACAACCATGCTGATAAGGCACAAGCAATAGGAGAGGCTGCTAGCAGATTCATGCAAGAGGATTTGGACATGAACAATATATATGATTACATGTTTCATCTTCTTGATGGATATGCAAAGCTTTTGAGGTTCAAACCAACTATACCTTTAGGAGCTGAGGAACTTTGTTCTGAAACTATGGCATGTGATTATAAAGGTACACATAGGAAGTTCATGGAGGAGTCAATGGTGATGTTTCCTAGAGATTCAAATCCATGCATTATTCCTCCTCCATATGATTCTTTGACGCTGCAAGAAGTTTTAGAGAGAAAAGCTAATTCAACAAGACAGGTAGAAATTTGGGAAGATGAGTTTTTGCTGCATAAAAACAATGCACAATAGTTCTTACTTTTTGTGTGTACCTATAAGAGACTATGGTTGATGTTGATTTCGAACTACTTTTTAGTTAGTTCGCAAAGAGTTCTTTTAAAAAAACAAAACCTTGATGAGTTTTACTATTAGAGAACATTTCCTAGATGGTAACTTGCAAGGACAATTGTGTTAATTTTGTTTTAAGATCTAATTAATATTTCTGTTTAGTTTTATATGGTTAGTTGCCAAGTATGTAGTAACAAATTGTTGTAATATTCTTGTAATTGTAAGGACATGTGTCTATATTATGACCAAGGGTCTAAAGAATGAATAATTCATCATTTATAAAAATATAAAAAATAAAAGATTATCATCTTGTAAAGTCAGTTTAGTTGGTATTTCTTTAGAGATATCAGATGCATGAGCGTGAGTTCAAATGAGTTATATCCCACTTATTTATCTTTAAAAAGTAAATTTCAGCCACTACTCTACTTGACTCTAAAAACATATGTGTGAATCTATTTATAATATTTTAATCAATGTGTATTTTAAGTGTTCTCTACCTAAGAAAAGAGAAATGTGGGATGACATTCTCCCGCACAAAGGGAATTTGAGGGGTGATGTTTGGTGTGTTCTCAGTAACTTTTACTTTGTCTGCTCCGCCTCTAAGAGAATTGACGTCGATGGCCGTGTCCGGCCTCACGGGTCAACTGATTGTATTGAGATTTTAATTTCATCTCTCACATGGATCTTATTGATCTCCCTTGTTAGGTTAAAACTTTACTTGGTTCCAACCGAATGGTGGGGTTGTTAGTAGGCTAGACATGATCCTTGTGTTTGAGGCCTGATATGAGGTTTGGAACCTATGGCTCAATGGGCACTCCCTAAATATATTTCCGATCATTGTTCCATTATTCTTCCCTTTGAGAATCATTATGAGGTCCCAAATATTTCAGATTAAATAATCATTCATTGGCCCATAGTGATCTTTCTGAGGTGGTCATTCTAGTTAGACCAATTCAATTTGGTGGGTTGGAAAACTTTTGTTCTTAAAGAGAAGCTTAAATGTCTGAAAGGGATGTTGAAAGGTTGAAATAAATATTTGGTAACCTGTCTCATTCAACACTAAGAGTCAATGGGGGAGATCAAAGGTCATTTCTAATCTCTGGTCTCTCCTTAGAATTCATGAGTCTCTTTTGTTTCAAATATCTAAGGTTAAATGGCTAAAGGAAGGGGATGCTAACACATCTTTCTTTTATTCCTGTGTTAAAACTAGACATAAAAGAAATTATATATTGGTGCTTCAGGTTGGGGAGTCTTGGTTGGAAGGAATGACTGAGACTAAACAATAAATGACTAGGTCTTTTACACAACAATTTTGAAACCATTGTTTGATCATCCTCAATTGGATGATGTGTTTTTCCCATCCCTTTCCTTGGAGGATAATATTATGCTCTGGTCCCCCTTTCTTCCATTGGAGATCGAATTTGTTGTCTCCCATTGTGAAGGAAATAAGAGCCCTGGCCCTGATGGTTTTAACTTCTCTTTCTTCAAAATATTTGGCTTACTTTTAGAGGAGTAGATGGAGGGTCTGATAAATATGATTTAGAAATTCTATTGCATGATGGTTTTCCCCAATGGTTTTTCCTCCTACTTCGTCACTCTTACTCCTAAGGTGGATTCGCCTACTAGTTTGAGGGATGTTCAACCTATTTTCTTGGTTGGATCTCGCTATAAGTTGGTAGTGAAGGTCTTAGCCTCTTGAGAGTTTTAATTATAGATGTGAGTTTTTCATAGGTTATGTCCACGAATCTTCTTACAAATAGACATGAGTTTTACATTAGTTATCCTCTAAACCAAACACTAGATTTTACAATAGGCTAGTCTCGAAACCAAGAGAGATCTTTTACAACAAGTGTAACTCACAAACTAAATTGAGATTTTAACTAATAATCTCACAAACCAAATGATAGCTTTTACACCAAGAGAAACTTACGAACCAAATGGATATTTTCACAGACAATCTCATGAATCAAACGAGAGCTTTTACTCGCTAGGATCATAAACAAACAAATACTCCTCACAAGAAATATTACACAAGATATAAATTCCTCTTGCTAAAATTATAATAATACCCCAACACTAGAATACACAAGAAATATCTCACTAGTTTTTTTTCACTCTTAAAGCACTAAAGAAATTTAGTGAAAAAGAAAGAAATGATAAATAAGAGAAGTGAAAGTGAGAATGTATATGAAAATGTATTTTCTAGTGTTTTTGAAAGTGAGAAGAAATCCTCTATTTATAGGTAAAACTTTTGCTCAAAAAGGACAATTGTCCATGAGCTTTTAATGTTCATAATTGATTATGTGCTTTATAAAAACATGAACCCTAATTTCCAAAAAGGAAAACCTATAACAATCAATGTCTTAATTGATTATGAGTGTTCTTAATCGATTAAGAAGAATTATGCCTTGCTCTAATTAGTTGGCTAAGTGTCCTAATCGATTAGGCATTGTGTCTAAGCTTATATTTAGAAACATTGATTAATCCCATAAACACTTTGATCGTTCCTCCAAGGATTTTAAGTTGTTTTATGAAATAAAGAGGTTAAAAACACTTTTAGGTGAGTGTGTGCAACTACTTAGGTGGATAAATGAATAATGAGATTATAAGGAATGCAAAAGAATGATGAATTAACTAATAATAATGGAAAAGTTAATCCATTTAGTTTAAATAGAAAAATGTGAATAGAATTTGTAGTTCCTATTGGATTAGTTGCATTTTGCAAAACAATAACATGCAGAAGTGTCCAAGTGCTCAAGATTGGTCTAACTTACTTAAGTTGTATAAGAGATACATGTTGGGTGCGATGCTCCAACATGTTGTTACGACATCTGCACCATGCTCAACAGGCACCAGATTGTTGCGTTTTGAATGAATCTTTTGAGAAGATTCAGTTATATCTTATTTCTTTTATTTAAAAATATGATTATATGGTTTGTTTGACAGTCGGACGAAGATTGATTCAGATTTAAATGAAGACTTAAATTTCAATTTAAATTGAAACAAATCATATCTTGTTGGAGATATTTATGGAATAGATAATATCCAACAAATTTTACATTAATTATGGATGAAATCAAATCTCAAATCCATGAAGAAAAACCCGAAATTATTATGATATATAAGGATCTCAAAACATGCATTGGAATCCAAAAAATACATTGAAGATTTAGAGAGCTAGGTATTATTTATGAGTCATTGTTATTGTCGTTACATGTACACCTCTATGTTTCAGTAACTTGGCATAGAAGGTTTGTCTAGAGTTGAGTGGAAGTATTCAACATTAATTATTGAGTTGTAATCTCCAATCACGGGTTGTGTGATTTAGAAGAAAGTGAGTAAGTTCTCATGTTTAGGTAGAGCCTTAAAAAGAAAGTTATTGGTAGTGTTAGGAAGAGGAATTGAACAACATAGGGTTTGTTCTTTTTTGTAACGTCTCCCCCCTAAGGAACAAAATTTTAGAATTGGATTAAATTTTTAGACATTGTAATATTACATTTCTTCAGTAAAATCAACATCGAAATGAATTTAAAACTATATTTAAACATAACTACACTTAAAGAATAAATCTCTAAGAAAAAGAAAATAATATAGAACATACAAACTACTAAGAACAATAAATCTACCATGCAAGATTTAAATGGAAAATAAAGAGAAAGAGTTAGAGAGATAGTAATTGAGATTTATACTGGTTTATTGCATTTGTCCTCACATGACACCTAATCTAGTATTGATGATAAACCATAAAAAACAATATTTATAGTCTTCCACTATGAATTTACAGTGTACTTTTTTACACATGATAAACAAAACAAAAGATTTGAAATCTTAGACTTGACCATTAAGCTATATAGTTATAATTTTTTATTTTTATTCAACTCCACACTGATGACAAGGCTTCTAAAATCTCCAAGATCTACGAATTTGAGTTGAATCACCTTCACATATCACAAGCATTCCAAGATCTCATTCAACACCAATCTTCATTCGATTCCATCAGGATTACCTTGTCTGATTCTTTAAATTTATGATAGGTGCTAGAAACTCTAAATCCTCTTTGGAAAATAGTCTTTTTTATTTTTCTTCAATGGAAATCACTCACATTAATCCAAAAACCTGATTTTTTATCGTGAAAAACTTTCAAAAAATTATTAGGTTGACCAACACTCTCTTTTATAGTTGAGCAACACTCACTTTTAAAAAAACATCACACACATAAAAGTGTTTCATTCAAGAGATTAACTCTCAAAATTGCTTTTTTTAAGGTGTCTCTTAGAGGGAGTTTGCACTTAATTTGATATCATCGGATTATTTATCATATAAATCGTCTCTCACACTCACTAGTATACATTCACATGCATCAACATACATATAATAAAAATATACAGTTATGGTTCCTAACACAATTATTCTCTCAAGACAAAGGAAGAACCTAAGATAGACCTAATAATGATCTATGTTTCTTCAAGCCATGCCTCCATGATTTTTTTCCTTTGATCTTGTCTTTTTATCTTTCTACATTATATTACATGAAATAATAATTATTTTACATGCAAGAAATGAGATGAGAAAATAAGTTACATATAAAGAGTATAGAGAAAAGCATGACACACAAGACATATTTAAAATCCCGAAAAAAGAAAGAAAGAGAAACTAAGGTCATAACCACTCACCACGAGAAAATAATAATAGACACACTTTTATTATTATTATTATTATTATTATTATTATTATTATTATTATTATTATTATTATTATTATTATTATTATTATTATTATTATTATTGTTATTGTTATTATTGTTGTTGTTGTTGTTGTTGTTATTGTTATTATTATTATTATTATTATTATTATTATTATTATTATTATTATTATTATTATTATCATAAAATTTTGTTAGTTAAATATATTAAATTAAAATTTGGTGATTGATCACGCTATGCCCTGATGCAAGATTTCAATGA